CGTTAAAATCATTGTATATTGTGATGATGAATGGTGAAGGGTGTACATAGGAAGATGTTTTATGACATGAAATTGCCATCAGTGGACTAGTCTCGGCAGCATTACTGGCATCAAATGTATAGTGATCAGTCACAGCTGTGTAGAACCATCAGAGATTATATCAGTTGTGACATAATGTATTCGTTCTTTTGAAGTACACTTTACATCAAATTCTAGTGTCATTTTAGTGTATTTACAGCAAGTCTCAGAAGTATTGGGGCAGCCAATTTGCAAACTCGCTAGCAAATTAGCTAACTGCTTGGGTTTTGACTCAACAGTTAGCTCTTGAATCTCACTGGCACCGACTCATGGTCGTGTCCACTCTGGGTGAGTCTATATTGCATTAGGGAACATAGAATGCTTTTACGTAGTCTCAGTAGTACATGAATGATTTGCATTGCGAGGCGTGATAATGTGAAAGTAGTTTTCCTGGTCAGCCTGAGAATGGCCACAGTCAGCTGGTGTACAAAAGATAATATGATAAATGCGATTAATCCACTGATATTTACTATATGGGGGTAGCCATCTTGAACACTGATTGAAACTAAATAAAGAGACAAGTTGAGAAAGTTTCCTATTAATCAGGGAGAAAATAAATGTTCATATCCAAATGATTCGTTGGGGTAACATTAAACCAACCGCTAATAAAATTCGACTACATTCATCATTTTTGCGTGGACAATCCCTGTATACGAACACCTCATTACACGAAGAAAATAGAACAATTTCCCTTGTGTATTTGAAAACGAAATCGCCATCTAACTAATGTATGATGACCCCCTACTGTTACCCCGGTATATAGATTCACTCAGTCTGCGTCACCACAGAACGGCACCAGCGATATTCGGAAGCCAACCGTTCAGTCAAAGTCAGTTGAGTTTGCAAATTGGCTGCCTCAATACTTCTAAGACTTGCTGTAAAGAGTCATGTTCATTCCAAAGTGCTGTGTTCAAGATGGGTCCCATGCAATGTATACAAAATGTGTGAAATACATTGCCTGACAGCGTATTTTACAAATATCATATTTGCTCTATTAGGAGTGCTTCTCAAATGTTACACGTGAATCAAAAATTGAATATAGGGGGTATACTGAATCACAAAAATATTTCGACCATAGAAATAGCTCTGTATTAAATTTACATATGTATATGCATTATAGGTACTAATAATATAGTAATTGATGCAAACATTTTTTTTTCATTATTTCATTACAATACTGTATAAGCAGATGTTACTTGTTCTCGGGTCAAGTTTATGCATATGGCAGACAGTCAATATTCAGCTTATCAGAAATTCTATCACTATCATATTGGAATTTAAGTCGATTGACTTTAATATACAGCTGTGCTTCACTCAGCAAACATCACAGATAAATGAATTAACCTTTCCAGACTTTCTGACCCAAATTTGTCTGCACTTTTTTTTTATATTCTTCAATATTTCTGGAAATGAAATTTAATTTTAGAGCCAATGAACACAATTTTAGTCAGTTTTTACTCAAAAAATTCGGTTATTTATTATAAACAGGACTATTTTGTAAATTTGTGATGAAAGGAGGGAATTGGTGGTGAAATGGTTAGAAGTACAATTATACTTGGGCTGTAATTTTGAGACCACCTGACATCACGGTGAAATTATGCAATGTGGGAATGTCAAATCTGACACAGTCATGATGTTTTCTATCTTCGAAAACAATTTTATAATTTGTTTTAATTATTTATCATGTTCTTTATACAAATTTATCTAATCTGTTTTATTAGACTTATAATTTATCTAATCTGTTTTATTAGACTTATAATGTATCTAATCTGTTTTATTAGACTTATAATTCTTATAGTCTCTGAGTGCGTCTGTCCGTCAATTTCTTTCGCAATTGGATCAAAGATGGCTGACTGGCAGGCATCTTGTTTGTTTTTTTAAATGTGGTATTTTGGACATGCTTTTTTCAGTTTTCATTCAAAGTTGGCACATACTTTATACATGTTAGGATACATGTTCATGACAATTTGTTTCAAAATCGGATCAAGGATGGCTG